TTGGGAGTTGGATGTCAGGATATCTACATACAACAACCAAAAGGGTTTATAGCAAATGAGTAGGAACACACGGTATGCAAGTTGTGAAAGTCTATTTCATAGACTTAAGCAAGCATCCAGGTCTTGAAACATCAGTTTTGATCAGGTTATCAAAATTTTGATTTTGAGAGAACCTTGATGAATGATGTGTATTTGTATGTAAAGGATACAACGGAAGACAGTAGCTTTTCTGGTACTTTATGTAGATGATATGCTCCTTATTAGAAACAATGTGGAGGTAATATCAAGCATAAAGAGTTGGCTAAGTTAGTGTTTTGGTATGGAAGTACTGGGGAAACCAATTATATTCTTGGTATAAAACTCTTATGAGGCCGGAAGAATAAGTTGTTGGCATCACCTCAGGCTACTTACATTGATAAAACTCGTGCCAAAATTCAACATGAGAATTCTAAGAGAAGAATTATAATTCTCAGATATGGAATTCATCTTCCTAAGGAGTGACCAAAGACTTCTAAGAAGGAAGAATGCATGAGCAAGATATCTTATGCTTTGGCAAAGGTAGACTCACGCATATCATGTTCGGCGTTAAACCAAACATCTGTCACGCAGTGGGAGTAGTGAGATAATACCATTTTGAACCTAGAGGAATACTAGATTATTGTTAAGCATGTACTCAAGTATCTTTGGAGAACGAGAGATTATATGCTGGTATATTCTAGTGGGAGTCTTGAAAAGCTGAGTTTTCAAAAATTCAGTTATTTCAAGTGGATATTGACTCAAGAAAATCAACCTCGAGCTGAGTTTTTCACTAAACTCAGATAGCATTAGAGGTGGATCTTGCAGACCCAGTTACTAAGAGTTTGCCTGAATTTGTGTTCGAGAGGCATGTTACTTATTTGGGTCTTAGGAGGATCCCAGACTTGCATTAAGCAAGTGAGAGTTATTGGTTTTATTGTGCTCTTGGAATAAGACGATGAAACAATAAAATCATTTTCTGAATCTCATAAATAAGGTTTTATTTATTTATTTTGCGCACTATTTACAAACATAAAGGTCTGGATCAAATTGTGGAGTATATGATCATATGGATACGTTCATGGAGGGACATGATCATAGGATCTCACAATTGATGAATGGAGTCACAGCCGTTAAATAAAGTTGGACACTTTATTCAGGCTGCAATATTTTATGAAATGATTTTGTTCGAATCATTGTAAAATATTGGTGTGAATTAACATTCACATTGAAAGGATCAAGGAGAGATTTGATTAAGGTTGTTTTTTCTGTCATAAGGTATCAAATCTCCAGTTAACTATAGTTATGTGATTTCTCTTAATCCTGAGTTTATTATAAATAGGTAATCAAATAGTTTTCATTCTTTGATTTACCAACGGGTGAGGTTCGATCTATTGACGGCAAATAACTCGGTATTTTGGGAGTGAGATTATTTGATTATCGGTATTTATGAGATAAACAACATGGAATTTGTAGGATATGTCCCCTTGATATGTTTCGGTACTTGGATATTAAAGACACTGGCCAGTGCATGTAATCCATCAGAGAAACTATCATAGTCAAGGGAATAAATAATTGATTGAGTTACAGAAAACTTGTCAATCAATTATAGACATTCTACAAAGGGGCGATGCATATTCATGTTATAAGTGTTGTTAATCTTGGAGTTCAAGTTCGGGCTTTTAGTGGAGTAGCACCGAATTAGATAATCATTCGTTGATTATCAGGAGCCTTGATTAATAACAGATGGTAGATCCCCAAGCTAGCTTGAGACAAGGGATGGGGTATTTTTCGGATAGATGATGACTTATGGGTTACATGATCTTGGGTTTTACGACTCAAGTTTGTATCCAAAAGAGCAAGTGGGAGATTGTTGGGTTTGCTCTTTTACTAAAGCCCAAATGGGTTATTAGTATGAGAAGAGCCCAAGGAACCTAGAGCCCAATGAGCTAGGATTTCTTGGAACCCATATAAATAGTACCTCTTAAGTCATCAGCCTCCAAGGTCTTTTTGTGAGAAAGAGGCAAACTCAGAATCTAATCAGTGCCCACACACTTCCCCTTCTTCCTCGAGATATAGTTTGGAAGATCTGCCACAGTCCTCCTTCAAGGAGGTTGTTCGTGCTGCGGCACTGAGGTGAGCTGTTCGTGAAGAGGAATCCTACAAGGGAAGATTCTACACGAGACCTGCGCACCGAGAGGTAATTGTGAAACAAGGATGATTCGGTAAGAATACCAATGTACTAGGTCCTAAACCGCTTCCGCATAAATCTAAGATTTCCTACATTTTCAAATTAATAAATTTAATGGTAGATATTTGATTTAAATGTTATTATATAATATTTTAAATTTAATTAATGTATGAGTATGTTATTCATATATTATAAATTTTAATAGACTAACTAAAATATTCTCACATTTTTTGTCTTTTTCTGCTAATTTGATACATGGACCAACATTTTTTGTCCCTTCGAACTTTGATTAAGTGATCTCGTCGCAGTTGGTTTGTTTCACCACAGTTAAATGACCAATATGACCTCGTTGTACCCTCATCCCAAAGTACACATGGCTTTTAATCTGATCATGTTCGTGTAGATCTTCCGACCACTGAGAAGGTGGGTTGGGTCCAAGATCTCAAGATCAAAAGACGAAATCGCCCCTCAATTATTTGACATTGGTGAATGTTAAATGCCAAATCTACATGGTTTGATGGATATCCTTGTGGGGATTGAGAATAGTCGATCAGATCAAAGAATTAGAAATAATGGAAGTCTGGGGAATGAAAAGGGAATCCATCAGATCCTATCTTAGGCAACCCATGTGACTGTAAGGTATTTTGATTTCAATGTGCCTTCATCTTGCCTACACATTGTAATCACTCTTTATGTCTTTATTTTTCTTTTTGTTTCTGTGTTTTGTGGGGTCGACAATTATAATTATAATTTTTTTTTTTTTATAGAATTAGTAAATTGGATATCAAGAAAATGACACCGACTTAGGGGCAGGTTTGAGTATGATTGCTTGTCCAAACAAATATTAAGCAGCATTTAACATGGTAGCATGTGGTTTTGTATATTTTAGTACATCCTGTCGCATATGTGCTGATTTATATTGAAATAATTGACCGATGGAAGTTTGGGAATAAATCATTAATGCATAAGATGAATCGAAAATTCAGTGTATTTATTTACTTATTTTATAACATGTGAACAAAAAAAATCATATTATTTACTTTTTAGATAATATCGCAAAATGAATAGGCAAATATACTAAGTTTAGTACATTTATGTACTAAAGATTTATTGTAGTTGTTCGTTCCTATTATTTTAAGGGTATGCGCTCAGATATATCTTAGAGTTAGATATCTTGATTGACTTATAGCCAATACTCCAATCACTCTGCACAAATAATAAGTTTATAGTCAAGACGTGGGTGTATGTACATGGTTAACAGTAATAATGAATAAGTTAAAAGTGTGTACTTTGAGATCTTTAGCCTCTTGTTTATAACGATTACCTTCATAGGCTTGGACCTTTTAGATCTCTTAATTAATATGAAATCTGCCTTGATTGATGGGGATAAGAATCTTATCTCTTGATCCTCTCAAAATTATATAATTGTAATATCTCTATTCAATCTTATTAATAATAAAATTGTTAGGATATGAATTGAGTCGATAAGAGCAATCAACCATTGTAGTCGATTCTAATAAAAGTTGGGTAATCAACTACTGACAACTCCGACAAGTAACATGCGAAACCATAGTACGAGAAAATTATTATCAAATTGAGTAAGCCACAATACATCACAATAAATGAATTTTTTTTTTGTGTGAATACACAATAATATCATATTTTAAGACATTAAATTTATGAATGTTTCTATTTCTATAATTTTTAATTAGTTAATTTCTAATTAATGCAAAACTTCACCATTCAGTTTGGATCGTGTTAATTCATATGGAAAAACTCTACTCTAGATTTTGTAATTTCAAATTTAAATTAATTAAAACTCATGAGGTTATGCAAAGTAAATTTTGTATAGATTTGCTAGCCTTAATCAGTAAAAATTTACATCGACTGCTCCAAAAATAAAATTATTGAATAAAAGCCTAACAAGTAACAACCTCTTCATGCTATATTAGCAAAAAATATGAAATTCCTTTTCAGAAAACTATTTCAAAATTCCAAATTTATTATGCACTAGTAAAATTTCTCAATCTAAAGACAAAAGAGAGAGTAAAAAAAGATAAATCTGGAGTGGTTCGATTCGATGGGAGACTCTCTAGCCATCAATGTTTCTTTAAATGGAGAGCAAATGTGGCTTGAGGATCACCATAATTCTTTTGATCTCTTTTTTAGTTGTTTGAGATTCATATAAAAAAAATTAGTTTCATAACTTTTATGATTTATCTTTTTAAATTTCCAATGAAAAAAATTTAAAAGTGAGTTTTTTTGTGTGAGATTTCTTATATTCTTTAAATATGAAACAAATCATTGTTAGAAATATTTTAACCCTGAATTATGTATATAATTATAAAATACCAAACAATATAAAATTAAAGTTAGGATTGTACGTACCTTGTTGAATCATCACAAAGTCAAAAGAAAGAAGGGAATACATGCCAGATCTTCCTCTCTATCACCTATTTCGATAAAGGCAGCCTCAGCGATGGGAGAATAATGGCTTTTGGAGTTTAACTCCAATATAAATAAACTAGAGAGGGGATCTAGCTAATAACCCAGAGAAGAGTCTGTGTCCACCCATCATGGAAAACCAGGGTCACACTAAAGCCCATTGTGATCATATTGAATTCGGCTTTGGCATCTGTGCTTCCTAGCCTTTCTTCAATGTCAGGCATAGGGTTTATCATTTCTGAATATGCCTTTAAGTACATATTCTTAGAGAAGAATTGATCAACATAATCCTTTGGATCTTCTCTACAATATCTAATTGTTGATATTGCGTGCACACAAGGAATACCAGTTAACCCCATAATCTGCATGAGAAACTCCTCGCCTCCAACTCAACCGTGACATTCTTCCCCTTACACTTTACTTCAAACTTTTTGCTACCTGCTGGTGTTGGGACACAGTCTCTTGAATTGGCCTTTATCCTCTCTAAGCGTTTTTTTATGTTTGGAGTTATTTTATCAGCATATGCTTCCATACCAGTTTTCTTCATATATAATCGCTTCATCAATTTTGTCTGTATGCCTTCAATCAATGAGATTATTGGAAGCTCCCTCTCTTGTAGTATATAGGCATTGAAGCATTCACTGATATTGTTCACTAACACATCAGTCTTAGCTTTGAAACTAAAATGCGATTTAGTCCAAGAACTAGGCTTGAGGCGTTTTAAATATTGATAAGCTTTTCCATCTTCAGTTTTTTCTAACTTTTTCATAACCTTTTCAAATTGACAAACGGTAGTTGCATGTGCTGCTTGCCAAAGCATATCCTGGTAATGCTTCCCTTTCCAATGCTTCTTGAAATTTTCATTCAAATGCTTCAAACAAAATCTATGTTCTGTGTATGGTAATAAATCTTCAAAGGTTTGGACCAATCCCTGCATTAATTATAAATAAAGCATAAAATTGCAATGCATTATATGTGATATTAATTAAAATAAAAGTGGACTTACCTTTTGCATGTCTGAAATAAATACTATGTTGGTAGGATCTACCCCACACATGTCATTAAGAAGCTGGAACATAAACCATGTCCAACTTTCTCTGTTTTCTGCCTCAACAATAGCCATTGCAATAGGAAACATGCCATCATCTCCGTCCCTTCCAATTGCACTTAGTAAATGGCCTCCAAAGTGAGATTTCAAGAAGCATCTATCAAGAACAATGATAGGCCGACAACTTGCGATAAACCCAACTTTACATGCATGGAAGCTAACATATATGCGTCGGAACCTAGGAGGAAGCTCCTTTATTATACCATTGTTCATTATTAGTGGTTGGGGCTCACACTTAAGCACAGTTGTATTGCCAGGATTTGTTTGTAAGATAAGCTCGCAATATGCTCGAATTAAGGAAAATTAATTCGAATGGTCTCCAAGTATTTTTTCATTGCAACTTTTCTGGCCCTACAAATTTTTTGTGTACTAACTTCAAAACCCGTGGTCCTCAAAATTCTGCTTTGGATTCCTTTTATGCTCTCTTTTGGGTTAGCTCTGAAATCTTCTAAAAGCTTCTCTGCAAGATATGTTGAATTCATTTTAGAATTCTTAGAATTTCTAAGACATGAGTGCTCGGGCTTGAAAGTTTTAATCTGAAATGTCTGCTCCCCTGAAATTAATGATGTATGCACTCTAAATGGACACCGACTAGGTTGCTCCTTACATTTAACCGTGACTCTTTTTCTTTCATTATGCTCAAACTCATAGTCATATCCTTTTGAAATAGCTCATTCCCTCAAGGCTTTCCTAAATTCATCAGCATTTTCAAATTTCATCCCAAGTTCTATTTTAGAATCGCTGATATTAGTATTTGTCGTGAAATCAAGGTATCCAGACCCATTTAGTTGTTCATCAAAATCACTTCCATCTAGTGATTGCAATTCATCAACATTAGGATCAAATTCCATAAATTCCTCCGTATTCATTTCGCTTAATTCCCGTATATCCATTTCGCTTAATGCCTCTCTCTCTCTTCTGACATCTCACCATTAACAAAATAAGAAAATAAGCATCAAAAGACTTAACAGCTTAAAAATAAAAAATAAAATGAAGAAAAATTCGCAAAGTCATCTATTCATCTCAAATGGCCTAATAAGTGACTCCGAGCACTACTTCCAGGAAGAAAAAAATGAAAAAAATCAAGAACAAAGTCTCAAATTCTTATGCTGTAGACAATTATTTATAGTATACTATATTTCGCTTAAAGTGATAATGAGAGACGAATACAGAAAAATGATAAAACAAATAAGAGGCAAACATGACATCAGATAGAAGATTAACACTTTACAATGAGAAACAAAACAAAAGTGACAAAATAAATATAATAAACAAAAAGAAAACCGAATATGGGCTTGCATACCAAAAAGTGTACGACAAAAGTAGAAAGCACGACTTCTTCTGTGAGAGACTATATTAGAATAGAGAATCCAAGCACCTCAAAGTGTATCAAAAGGAGAAAGCATGCTCGTTTATTCTACTCGTTACGTATACGCCTCCTCTGCAAAATAAGAATAAAGAAAGGGTATTAGGGTTTTAATTTTAATTAGGGATAATTTTAGTATTTTATTTATAATTTAATATTTTGTTTATTAAGGGTATTTTTGATATTTTATATTATGAGGATATTTTAGTCATTCAAGGGGTTAGATGATACATAGTGCAACCACAGGCTGCTAAATGATACACATCCAAATCACAGTGGGTGAAAGTAAAATTTTTCCTAATAATAATAATAAGAACAACTTACTTGAGATAAGGGACAACAGTGTCAAATTTTTTTATGTCAATTTTGTCATTTCAAAATTCAAAAATAAGGGTACTTTTGTCATTTAGTCAAGATTCCCATCAATATTTTATAAATAACCAAACATAACATTTGTAAAATTAACTTAATATTTCTGACAAAATTTTATCTTACCAAACATCTTTTTGTAACTTGTCGGACAAAAAAATTCCCCCTTCATATTTTCAGAAATCTTTTCTTCCCGGTAAAAAAAAGATCTGTCATATCAAATGCCCCCTTAGGCCGTTTGATTTATTGTGGGCCCTTGGGCATGGACGGTTATAACGGTAATAGAAAATAAATTGTAATGGAAATTGATGGGCTACGACCAAATGGTTTCAGTAGTTGCTCGTTACTAAAAGGCAGAGCCCAAAGATAATGGATCCTTATCCCTCATCCCAAAACAATGAACCTATAGTTTTTAAATTTTTTTCTCCCTTTTTCTGTAATTCATAATTTCAATTTGGGTTGATTAATCAAAGTGTCCTAATCTTTAAAAAAGTAGCAATCTAATACATTCTGAAAATTAATTACCAATCTAGCACACATTAATCAAATTTGACCGTAAGATCTTGTCAGAAACTCCAACTTTAAATGTAATATTACCTTATTCATCTTTGGTCATTTTTAGAATAAATGATTTAGGTGAATAAATATTTAATTTATTTGAGTAAATTTCATGCAAATGATATTAAATTAATAAAATTGACATTAAATTAAAAATTAATATTAAATTCAAAATTAATATTAGAATTATTAATTTAAATAATATTTAAAACCATACATAATTTTTATTATCTGATGCAATCTTGGAATCCCAAAAAATTAAATAACATCAAATTTATTATTATTAATAATAATTTAACCATTGATTGTTTTCCCGTTTATCCAAAACAAATTCAATTAATTTGGATTCGTGTATTTGCTAAATAGGGAAATAAATAAAAAATAATAATCTTGTTGTCATTATTGACAATAATTATGATATTTTTGAAATTTTAGAGATTTTAAAATACTATTACATAAATATGATTTATTATTTTTTTAATTATTATTTGGCTTAATCGATTTAATAACAAAATAATAATATCAAATTAATGTAATTTATGTATAAAATATAAGGTTAAGAATTTAGATAATACACAAAATTTAAAACGAATAATCAAGATTGCACTATGTGGCAAATGGAGAGAATGTGTGAGAAAATAAAAGATTACATCTTAAAATAGTGTCAAGAGACATACCTCAATTTATGCCCATCTGTTACGTGACAGAATTTTAATCTTTTATTTGGGAATTAATTTTTAGTGAATCAGATATACTAAATTCAATGCATCTGCCGATTCATTTTATGATATTTAGACAAAAAAACATCACATTATCTCAAAAAAGCAAATGATATAATGTTTTTTTGTTAACGTGTCACAAAATAATTAAGCAAATAATATGATAATTTTTGCAATGAATCTTGGATACATCTCACGCTATTCTTTACCTTTTTTCTTGCTGATAATACTACAGCATACATTTCAAGTCATGCGTATCACACGTCCTGTGATGCATAAGATATATTAGAACATATAATGCGTAGAACAAATGTGAAAATGCTAGGTAGAATTTGAATTTAGAAAATATAAATTTCTGAAAATTTAAGTTCATTTCATAATTTATTATAAAAAATTCAAAAATATATTTCCTAAATTATTTTTATTTTATAATGTAACGTAATAACGTGTCTCATTTGACTCTCTTATGGTACAATCTATATATATTCTAAAGTAAAATTATTTGTTGGCAAGTTTGATGACGTGTCACTTTCTCATGCATTCTCCACTTTGTGTTCACACTACTTAAACTTAAATTTTTTCCTCTTTTAGAAACATTTTAAATTATTTTAAATTAAAATTGTGATTAATTCATTTTCATGAAAATTGTAACATCCCGAGCGCTGACGAGGGCAGAGAGTGATCGCCTGAGCGAAAAGGCATGGACAAGGAGCGGCTCCTGACAGGTCTCCAGCGGGAGGTTACATGCACGAATGAATCAAATTGACACCCGAAAGAGAGGAATTCCAAAGACTGTGCAGGTTTGAGACTGCACAGTTTGGGATAGCTTATAAGAATTAATTGATACTACCTATATTAACAATATGCATCTTCTTTTCGGTAGCCCGAAACGAAAGAACTCCACAATTAAGCGTGCTTGACTTGGAGCAATTCTGGAATGGGTGACCTCCTGGAAAGTTTTCCCAAGAAGTTTGCTAGTAAGGAAAAAACACACTGAAAAGTCTTGTTGTGTTAGTATGTGGGGATAGTTATTGATTCTTGAAGTGGATGAGCGTTACAAAAATAGTGCAGCTTTTATTGCAGTTCAATTTTTGAATACAACAAAATCACTACCTTCTGCCTTGGAAAATATTGGGCTTATTCATTTCCCTGTGTTCAAGAAAGACTTTTATTCCATTGAATGGTGCTTCTCAAATAACAAATTGAGTTTTTGTATAAATAGGGAAGTGTTGCTTCTTTTTTTGGTTTGCCTGCGTTTTTTCTTCGTTCGTGTATATAGGGGTTGTTCTATTGGTATCATTTTCAGTTTTTTTATTAACAAACGTTGTGAATTCGTTTTCATTTTTTATACTAATTCTCATTTATTCGTTTTATAGGTGGAAGGTTTCATGCTACTGTGAATGGTTATTTACGTATTCAGCGTCTTTCATGCTGTTCGAGGGAGATTCTGTTGCTCTACTATGAAGGGTTCAATTTATTTATGCTTGCATCAATTCAAAAGGGTTTGTGAAATTGTTTGTGTGTTACGTTATTGAGTTTTCGTGATGTTACATTGAGGTTTCGTGGTGTTATTACATTTCTGATGACATATTTTTGATTACATTTTTCTATAGGGTTATCTTTTGGAGCAATATCTTGAAGAACACGTACCTTTTGAATATCAAATCCAGTGTGTTTATAGTTGAATCTGCAATGAATGCGCAATTGTTGCTTATCTCTTTGTCTTTGTTAAAACCTTCGGTGAATTGCAATGACGCTGACGAAGATGGTTTTATGTCTTCTTTTTTCCCCACTACAAAAAATACATGAGCTCTTGAAGCTTTAACTCTTCGTGTTGTATATGGATGCGCTTTGCTACTGAAAGGGAATGTGTAACTCATGGAGAAATTTCACGATTGCATCTCATATATGAATTTGACATTTTGTTAAACAGTGTTTCGTCATTGTGTTGTGTTTTAGTGTTCTTATTTTCTGTACCCAGTAAATAATAATTATTTCAACTTCACATTGTAATTGTCTTGATTAACAATATCAAATTCATATATCTAAAGTGTTGTTGATGTGGTTACATTAAAATGAACTGAAGTTATAAGGGTATGATTTCCCCCCAAAAATAAATAAATTCTTATAGCATTAAAAAAATAGTGCTTTAAAAACAACAGTAAATATCATCAACGCCACATAAACTATCAAACTTAAAA